GAAGACAATGGGCGTGTAAGTCTGGGGACCAGTCACTAGCAAAGCTACAGAAGTTTTAGAAGGTTCGATATCAATTTTCAAACACCTAGATGAAAATAAGGTGATAAGTAACAGTCAGCATGGATTTGTCAAGAACAAATCCTGTCAAATCAACCTGATAGCTTTCTTTGGCAGGGTAACAAGCCTTGTGGATGGGGGGGAAGTGGTAGATGTGGTATATCTTGACGTTAGTGAGGCTTTTGACACTGTCTCAGGTGACCTCATAAACAAACTAGGGAAATACAACCTATATGGAGCCACTCTAAGGTGCGTGCATAACTAGTTGGAAAATCGTTCGCAGAGAGTAGTTATCAGTGGTTCACAGTAAAGCTGGAAGGGGATATCGAGTGGGATCGCACAGGGATCAGTGCTGGTTCTGGTTCTGTTCAGTATTGTCATCAATGATTTAGATAATGGCATAGAGAGGACACTTATAAAGTTTGCGGATGATACCAAGCTGGGAGGGGTTGCAAGTGCTTTGGAGGATCGGATTAAAATTCAAAATGATCTGGACAAACTGGAGAAATGGTCTGAAGTAAATAGGATGAAGTTCAATAAGGACTTAGGAAGGAACAATCAATTGCACACGTACAAACTGGGAAATGACTGCCTAGGAAGGAGTACTGCGGAAAGGGATCTGGGGGTCATAATGGATCACAAGCTCAATACGAGTCAACAGTGTAATGCTGTTGCCAAAAAACCAAACCTCATTTTGGGATGTATTTGCACAGTAGTTCTCAGACTTTTCTAGTGCTGACCCCTTTCACATAGGAAGCCACTGAGTGCGACCCCCTTCTAAATTAAAAACACTTTTTTTTAGATTTAACACCATTATAAATGCTGGAGTCAAAGTGGGGTTTGGGGTGGAGACTGACAGCTCGCGACCCCCCATGTAATCCCCTCATGACCTCCTGAGGGGTCCCAACCCCCAGTTTGAGAACCCCTGTATTAGCAGGAGCGTTGTAAGCAAGACACGAGAAGTAATTCTTCTGCTCTACTAGAAGGATGAGGAGGATCGAGTCCCAGCGATGAAAGGAACAAACACAGAATTGCCCTGATCTTGGATGGGGTTTACAGGGGTCACCGTAATACCAACAGGAAAGGTTTTTGTCTGGGAATTTCCATATTGGTGATAAAAAACACAGGGCAAAATCCCCAACAAATGAATGATGGGTTCGAACGTACCTGCAGAGAGAAATTCCTCCACATCTCTTTGATTCCCTCGAACTCAGCGCTGGAGTTAATGCTGGGGGCTTGGAGTGATGGGAAGAGAGGAGCAGACGTTAGAGCTTTCATATCAGATTTTCATCTCAAATCACTCCTGCCTGGGGGAAAATCCCCTTCTCTTCCCCACCTTGATGGCTGCTCTCTGTCCACATGCCAGTCCTACGCTGCCAATAGTTTAACATGCGGCTACAAAACTCCCTCCCTTCCTCCGTGTCTCACTTTGTCTCTCTCTCCCCTCCATTTACACTCCACTTTGCCTGTCTCTCCTGCTCCTGTCTCCGAGTCTTCTAGACGTGTTTCCATCTATTCTGCAGAGTGACCTGCTGGGTACAGACACCTCTGCCCGCTGGGGAGAACCCACCTTTACACGTGCCTTAGCCCCGCTGCACTGCCGGCTGGGAGCCACCCGAGGTAAGCGCCACCTGAGCCCCCTCTGGCACCCAAACTCCCTTCCAGGGCCTGTATCCCGCACCCCTCCCGCACCCCAACCCCATGCTTGAGCCCCACCCCTGAGCCAGCACCCTGCACCCCCCCGCACCCAAACCCCTATGCCAGCCCTGAGCCCCCTCCCAGAGCCCAAACCCTCTTCCGGAGCCTGAACCCCACACCCCCACCTGCACCCCAACCACCTTCCCCAGGCTCGGCCCGTAGCCTGCACCCTCTCTCACACCCCAACCCCCTGCCTCAGCCTGGGGAAAGTGAGTGAGGGTGGGAGAGACCAAGCGATGGAGGGAGAGGGTGCGGCGGGGCCTCGGAGAAGGGGCGGGAAAGGGTGTTTGGGTTTGTGTGATTAGAGGGTTGGCAACCCTAGGGAAGAGACACCTGGCCTCTGGCAGCCCTGCTCACCCACTCCCCGGCCTGGCTCTGGTGCAGATAAGTGTAATTCCGGCCTGGCCCTGGAGTGACCCCTGCTCCGCTCCCAGAGCCAGACATGGGCACGCTGGTGGCTGTGGTTCTGAGAAAACCGGGAACACCCCAGTGGATACACAGTCTGGGCTGTGGGGAGGTCAGGGCCTTGAAGCTGAGCCCTCCCTGGCTAGGGTTGAGACCTAGAGGGACCCCGTCCATGGGGGTAAGGGGGGCTGTCTCACCGTCCCAGACCAGTTCCCATCTCGCTGCCCCCTAGGGCAAGACCTCTGCCTGTGTAACCGCAGACCCTGCCCAGCCCCCCAGCTGCCCCCTCCGTGCCCCCCACGGCAGGACCCACCTTCGCACATGGCTGAGCTCCTGGTGGAGGGGACGTAGCCGGCCCGGCACTCACACCAGTAGCTTCCGTAGGTGTTGATACACGTGGGCTTGGGGCTGCAGATACCTGGGGTCTTGCGGCATTCGTCGATGTCTGAGAGGGGGGTGTCACACACAGCACGGGTGGGGGCTGAATGACCATGGAGATCCTGGGGAAGCTCAGTGGCCGTGCATTAACAGCATCGCCAACGCCAA